ATGGAACGTCAATAAAATTAAACTTTTTATCCACAAAAGACCGTGAGTGCAAGCCTCTCCATTTGTATACTATCTACATTAACCCTGGCTTTTTGAACAATAGAGCATGTGTGCAAGGAGACTCTGGAATTTTTACATATCTGGGATTTGGGTTCATCTCAACCTATACACAAGCACAGTACAAAATTACTTTGTATTTTGAAATCACTTTGACTCTATTTTAGTCAAGAATTTTGTATATAACTTGGGTGAATATGGGTGCATTTTTAATACAAGCAGGAGCATATGAGGAACAGGCACAAATTTTGCAATTCACACAGGAGGCGGCACGATCCATCCTCTGTGAACAAACCTGCAGAGTTTATTTTTGTCTGACTACTATAAGGCCAAATGCATCCCCCGAGGTTTCAGAATACTTAATATACCCACCTTAGGAAGGGGTAAGGCCAAAGTATACAGGGACTGGATATAAAGCTTCCCTTGACCTGATCCTTATAATTGTACAAAACGTGAAATCAGATTTGGAGGATATTAAATACAAAATCGTCTTGGCTGAAACAGAACATGCTGTGATGCTAGCAACACCTGAAGGTATTAAGCTTCAACATAAATTGAAAGAAGAATTAGTCATCTACAAAAATGAGTTCATCAAATTTAAGAAGCAAAAATTTGAGAGAGTCCGTCAGGACCATCATGTATACAAGTGACTTATGGGTGAAGATGCACATATGCAAAGGCCATATAGGAGACGTAAAAGGATTATCCGCCCTGAGATCACAACAATAGATGTGACGTCAGGGGAATCTGCATCGGATAATGAAAACCCCAGAGAACCTGAGCCGTTTTTAGATACAGAACAGATCCGCAACACCAGGAGGAGACTCAAAGGCACAAAAGGAGGAGAATGAGACGGGGCCCCAAAGGAAAGAACTGGCTTTCGAGGCAGACCCCCTCTGTGGAAATAATCCCTATATTCAATCTGTCCCACAGAACCTTGAATAAATATGAAATATAAATCATAAGCCAAGGTCTATCATTTGTGCCTTCACCTAAACCCAATACCTTTCAATGGAACATTGAGCTTTTCAATTTTGGCAAAAGCATACACCTTAAAGAGTTTTTTGAGAAGTCTCAAAATATTTAAACACAGGAAGTGGATACACCACAATTTAAGATCAAATCCAGATTTGACCCTCCTAACAAACCGTCAATCAAAACCTTCTTATCCATGGTCAACAGCACTGGACAGGAAATCATGGCACAATACCAACCCAAGCACATGCATATCACTAAATGACAACAGAAATGCATAGAATCTTCAGCGAAAGATCCAACTATAGCCATACGCCCAGCAGATAAGGGCGGCAGCATTGTCGTGATGAATTACAGTCAATATTCTAATAAATCGAAATTCAAACTTCAAGAACGATCAACATATATGCCAATCGAAGGGGATCCAACACAATTAATTATGAGGAAGATTGAAGTAGTACTAACCATGGGCCTTTAAGCAGGGTATATTGATGCACAACTGTATCAATATCTACTATGCAAACATCCTCGCACACCAATAATTTATTCCATCACAAAAATACACAAGGACCCCAAGAAACCACCAGGGGTGGCCCATCATATCGACCATAAGCAGGGCTCTGGAGCCCATTGTTGAATGGCTTGATCACCTCTTTAAAGCCCCCGTCGAGGATCTAAGCACCTGTATTAAGGATACACCCAACCTAATCTGTAAACTCAACCAACTGGAACTTGAAACAAACACTGTCACACTCATTACCATGGACGTCCGTAGCCTCTACACCATCATACCTCACGAGCAGGGCGTGGAGGCTATGAGACAGGTCCTGTCTACATCAATCAAGTATAAGGTCCACCGATAGAGTTTGTTTTGGAATTGTTAACCCTTACGCTAATAACTACTTCCGTTTTGAACAGGGCTGGTGCATCCATGGGGGCAGCTATGACACACATGTACGCAAATGCAAACATGTTCATCTACAAACTGCAACATATAGTTTCAACCTATAGCCAACACATCTGTGGATATTACAGATTTATTGACAATTTGATCATCTAGAATGGAAGTATCAAAGAGGCACAAACCATAATAGAACATCTCAACACACTTCGACTACAGTGAGGTTTACAGCTAACATTAGTACAGAGTCCGTACAGTTCCTTGACGTGGAAATATGAGTGAAGAACCATAGGATTTCATATAGTCTATTCATCAAGCCTACAGATCGTAATACCATCTTTCACTTTGACAGCACACATCCATTGCCGCTTAAAGGACCACTATAGTGCCAGGAAAACATACTCGTTTTCCTGGCCCTATAGTGTCCTGAGGGTGCCCCCACCCTCAGGGACCCCCTCCCGCCCGGCTCTGGAAAGGGGTTAAACTTACCTTTTTCCAGCGCTGGGTGGGGAGCTCTCCTCCTCCGATCCTCCTCTTCTCCTCCCCGTCGGCTGAATGCGCACGCGTGGCAAGAGCAGCGCGCGCATTCAGACGGTCACATAGGAAAGCATTCATAATGCTTTCCTATGGACACTTGCGTGCGCTCACTGTGAAAATCACAGTGAGAAGCACGCAAGCGCCTCTAGCGGCTGTCCATGAGACAGCCACTAGAGGAATAGGGGGAAGGCTTAACCCATTCATAAACATAGCAGTTTCTCAGAAACTGCTATGTTTATGAAAAATGGGTTAACCCTAGCTGGACCTGGCACCCAGACCACTTCATTAAGCTGAAGTGGTCTGGGTGCCTAGAGTGGTCCTTTAAACGTTCACTATCTACGTATCTACATCTCGTCTGCCCAATTTTCTAAATACTTTCATTAGTCCCTGGCCTTATCTTATAGTTAGAGGTTATTTCTATGCCTATCCCTAGCATGCTTAAACTCCCTCACTATGTTAATCTCTAACTCTTCAGCTGGACGGCTATTCCATGTGTCTACTACCCTCTCACTCAAGAGGCATGGGCAGAAGCTATAGATTGTTTTCCTGGCATTATAGTTTCCCTTTAACATCTGTACTGGCGTAAACGCACAGAAAAGGTTGAAAACAAACTACTTAAAGCATACTGGTCATGATCAACATAGCATGCGGGCTGAATATCTAAGCTCTTATATATTCTTACTGTATTCAAAGCCACATGGGAAAATGTATAAAACAATAGCTGCTTGGGGTGGGGGGGATAGGGGACAGCAATCGGGCTGCTACAGTCACAGTTTGGCTATTTAAGCTTATATTTATTCTATCTGAACTTTAGCTCACTACAATTCAAGTTTCACACACAAAGCAATTTTATAAAAAACAGGACAATATCATGACAAACACACTGACAGCTGTACTGGTTACATTATTTACTGCAGGGCTTAAAATAATCACTAGTCCATGGCAAATAAAAATTCAAAGCAGAAATTCACTCCCCATAAGTGTGCCACCAATTGTCCAGGCTTGCAGAGGAGGGCAATGTTTAAGCGTTGTAATTATGGCAATTCATTGTATGGTATTATATATATGCCAACTTAATTGTGGAGTGTGGACTAGAAAATAGCACTGCGTTGCCTTGTGATTCAACCCTTAAAGGGACACCACGCACAAATAAAGGTTTTGGAGAACGCTGCGACATAAGCCTGCCATTTTAGCCATGCCACCCCCCCAAAGAAAAATATTTTCTTATCAAAAAAGTATATACACAGCTCAACCACAGAATACTGAACGACCTGCATTAGGAGGAAAGAACATCCAAGGAGGCACACAGTAAGGATATCACTACCTGGCTATAGGTTCTCTGTCTGCAGCCAGATTGTGAATTAAAAACATCTCACTCAGTGCTGTTGGACCTGAGGCTGTGTACATACATTTGATGAGAAAGTCTTTCTGGCATGAAGGGGCATGGCCAAGGAGGCAGGCTTATGGTGCAGAATTCAACAACACATTTATTGGTACCTGGAGAGAGTCCCTGTAACTCTTTAGCAAAGTGACATCAATCCCAGCCAGCTGCCACTCATGCACACCAGAGAATTTCTATTACCCAATGCTATACTGGTGGAGAAGAAAGGGATTTCCAGATAACCACATTGTTTAACCCAGGTATGTATGTAGTAGCAATTGTGCATATCCAATGTACTGCTCATTTGTACATATTGCAAACTAAAGAGACTATTAATAAACATTTAAAGGAACATGTGCACCAGGACAACTTCCCAACTATGAAGGTATGGTGCCAGCGTATCTTCAGAAAGTGGTCAGTTTAACCACAAATTTTCGGCCAATTGGTAACACTCTCAGCCTATCCTTAGTTCTCCATTCACAATAAGGATCACAATAAAAAAAAATACGTATGTGTTTCTCTGACTCAAATTTATGTGGTGGGGCAGAACTGAAGGCATCGGACAGAAGATTGTGGTGTGTTAACTTAATAGTTTAACTAGTGAAGGTAAACCAGCGCCAGAGAGCTCCTGCCACCTTAACTTCATTCCGATTAAGTTCTTATGGTGCCTGAAAGATTCTTTTAAAGGAACACTATAGGGTTTGGAACTCAAATATGTATTCCTGACCCTATAATGTTAAAACCACCATTTGGTTGGCTTGCCCCCCTTAATAGGTAATAACACTTACCTTATTTTCAGTGCCATGTGGGTCCGTCGGCGCAGGCCCCACCCCGCCTTCTTACTGATATAATTTATGATTGGCTGAAATCAGCAAGGAGGCGGGACAGCTTTATTTTCAAAATACTCAGTTTTAATTTACATTGTATACCCGACTATCCTGGCACAACCAGAACAGAACAAACCATGTCATTTAATTTAACCAGGACTGTGCCACCTTGCCGGTGCATATCTTTATACGGCTCCTAAACATGAAAATCCTGCAGTTTTAAATTTGTTTTATTTATTTCTTCCCCTCTCTGCCACATAACCCAGTAAGTACTCACTACATTCACTAGGGTGAAGGAATAAGGCACTATCACTTCTTGAAAAATGGTGCTTTGAGCTGTAGGACACGGTGTACATATTGTGGTTTCCACAACTGAACCAATGAAAAAATATAAAAACAACATGCCATGATAAACGCAAATCAAAGCTCACCCTGGCAAGCTATGTATGCATTTTCTCAGATATCCCTGCAATAGTTGAGATCATGGGCATGCAAAGACCCAAAACGCAATTTCCTTATAAATATAAAAAACCATGTTTAGAAAGAACCGTAGCACTGCTCCCCGATGGAGAGCGAAACGCTAACTCGATTAACCAAAACTGGCTAGCAATTGCATTTTACATGTTATAACGTTCGTCACTTTTTATCCACACAGAACACAGAGCCAAGAGAGGAGACTATTTTACCAAACAAAGTTCAGATTGAACAGTTTATCGATGAAAATTCAAATACATTTGTCTTTTTTTTTTTTAAATAAAATACAGGATTTGACAGTGCAGGAACGAACCAGGGCTGTCCACCGATGGCACTCAACATTAAACGCATAGTGAGGTTGCAGTTTGAAATCCATCATTTAGAAAAGAGTAGGTGTTAAAATACACAATGAAAAAAAATAAAAAAATGCTATTTTTCTTTTCTTGGAAAAGTAAAAATAAAAATGTTCCAATTTCTGTTTGCTTAATACAGTTCCAGAACTTCTATTGAATATCGGTCACAGTCTTTGACTTGGTGTTTCATTCTGTGCAGCTCTGATAAACATCCTTCAACCTTGTTCAGTTCTGAGTACAACTTCATCTAGGATGGAAACAAAACACATAAAAATTCTAAAACACTATAGACATTACCCCCCATTCTCTACACTGAATGGTGAAAATCTCAAAAAAATAAATATATATGACCACATTTTAATGATGAAGCCAAGTTAAGACACAACTAAGTGTAGGAAGTTAAGGCCAGATGTACTGCATATTGCTAAACTTGGGATATCTTGCAATACTGGAAACATGAAAAAAAAATATTCTTAGGGTGTTAAAAAGGTAAACCTAACTTCCTCATTTACAGATAAATATTGCTCAGATAGTCCATGGCCTGCCTACAGGAAGCAGATTGTCTGTAGGTTCTGGGCTTGCAATTGTTGGTGGTGTGTGAGGTGACAGATGATCCAGATCAGTGATTGAAACACCTACCTGTGTTCTGACAAATTTATGAAGCTTCTGAAGCATTTTCTTGGCTTCTGGTAACATAACCACAACTGTGAAATGGGCATCCAACACAACACTCATCCAATCCATAATCTGAAGAGAGAAAGAAACAAAATAGGAGTTGGATTACATTCAGAGAGAAGAACACGGAGCTAGGAGAGCGCTATGGTCATTTATTAAACTGGCCAGAGAATCGCACTTCCTAGGTCAAAATAACTGAAAAGAAAAATTCTCTAACTCCGCTATTTTGTCTCAGAATTTGCAAGTCACTGGTCCATTCCAGTTTAGGGATTAGCCGGTGGGGCTTGCAGTGCTCATGTAACCCACAGCCCTGTCAAGGACGAGTGCTATACCTGGCAGTGTACCCCATCACCCTCGCTAAGACTGGAGCCATTAAATAGGAGTGTAACGCAATCATCTGGCCAGTAGCATACCAAAAGTAGAAGTGTATCCAACACCCAGTCTGGGTCCTTCAATAGATGTGTAACCTAGAACCCACGTCAGGACAGGATCAATCACAGGACGTTTAACCCAAAATCCTGTTCAGGACTTTGAACATCAAGATGGTCCTAGTTGATCTAGGCAGAAACGACATCCCGCGGGGAGAGTAACCCACCAATATGGCCAAGAAAGCCGTTTAGTAAAACACAATATGGACAATGAAACAAGAGAAAGAACATTAAATCCCTGTTACCTGGTTGGTTGAAGGCATTTGTTTCTCCGGGAGGTTTATTGTGAGGTCACCACCGCATTTCACATAGAGATAATGCAAATATCGAAGGAAAAGCTAAGAAAAAGAAACATAAAATCAGGACATATATAAATACCTTGTCTATGCACGCTATCAGCAGCATATAATGCCGTCTGTGCAATGTTCACCTGGTTCCTATTGGATCTAGTACAGAAATGATTCTCTAGCAAATATAGAATGGTGTAAAAAAATAAAAGTTCAATAAATAGATTTTTTTTTTGTTAAATCAAATGGAAACTCAATTTATTGGTCATGTCTTTAAAGTGAACCCATTATTACAGGATATAGATATTTATTTTAGGAGCTATTCTATCTAAACTCTCCACTTTTCCAGAGTGGACAGGGGGATCCCAGTCTACCTTAATCAGCCTTGTACGTCCAAGCTGGCTGATCCCCCACTACAATACCAATACAATCTGTGCCAGGTCGGTATCGGTCATTCTGCTTATATATTCCCCTAGCATGGAACAACCAGAGTGCTTGCAATGTAACTTTGACCGAGAGCAGGAGAACCCTTGGTAGGAAGTACATCTTGCATTCAGAGAATCCTGAGAGCAATGTGCACAGCACATGAAGTAGCACACTGTGCCGTCTATGTTCGTCGTCTCTGATGGTCTAAATGTGAGACACCAGAGAGTAAACTTGCTTCACTGAATTTGGAACTGTGATAAAGCATGGATTGGGAGGCAACACATTAAAAATTAAGTTATTTTTTCCCATGTTTCTTTGCAAACATCTATACACTAGCTAACAGGTCTACTAGCACAATGTATGCATTATTTTCCTCCTCCTTTAATATACTGTACAGAATCCTTTAGCAAGATCGTTGCATTTTCAAAATACCATTGGTGTCTGCTCTATAAGAGGCCCCAACAGAAATTAGCAGAATGAAAAGGATAGAACAAGGTCACAGTCATGGCCAAGCAATATGAAAGTTCAATTTTCTTGTTATTATAAGAGTTTAACGGCCAGCAGACAAGGCATGAGTATAAGAAGGCACAATACATACCACAACTTGACTGGCAGAGAGAGACTTCAGATGAGGCAGGAGAAAGGTCTCACTATAGGGATAAGTAAGGATGGAATTTCTGGATTTACAAATTAAGGAAACATTGGCTATTAAAATGATCAAACAAGGACAGGACATGAAGCAACACAGGAAAGTAACAGTTTAACCATTCTAAAAAAACTCATTTACTCGTTATTCAAATAGTGATAGACCCATGGATTTATAACTTCATGTATCGAATGGTCAAGTAGATAATGAGAAGCATCGATCAAAAATTCTTATTCTAAGCAACTAGGCATGTCTGCAATGTGGAGAGTCAATGAGAGCATGTGGATGGATGGATAGATGCAGGAGTGTGTTGAGTTAGGGCGGTGTTTGGCATAATGTCAGAGTCAGGGTTATTCACCAAATTGTGAAGTCATCTGGGAATGACTAATTCTAGATCAAAGTAACCGATCTAGAAAAACGTGTTTGTCAGTTATCTTTTCGCCTACTTTGTTGTAAAGTTTATAATTCCCTGGCGAATTCCTGAAGATTCAGCTCAGTGAATGCAGATGTGCAAGTGTGGGCAGTGTCATTGTAGTGAATGAAGGACTGCACATCTACACATCGATGTTTAAATGAAGGCAGGAGTGTACTTGTGAGCAGTGCCCGTGTGGACATTCGTACATACAAACACAGAGTGTGTATCTCAGCACAGTGTGCAGCACTAATAATTTTATATTTACAGTAATTTGTATTCCCAGAGCCCTTCCACTGTACAGATGTCTAACTGAAATGCTCACATATAGGACTTTCAGGCATTTTCTATAAAAATACAGTGTACAAATCTTTATGCATTAAGGAGAACATTCAGGGATGGTTTTCTGGGTTTGGATACAGAAGTACAGCTCGTTTAACGCTAACAGGCGATTTTGGAGGCTCATTCCTCCGTGACACAATCTCCGGCGTCTGAACGTCACAGCTGTCTTCCTCCAGAGCTGCCGGGCTAAACCCATTCTGTATCACAGCAGCATCAGGCACAGAAGGTTGTTCTGCCTCTTCTGCCACCTCAATATAATTTGAAATGTACTCTGTGCTCAACGGAGCATTGCGAAGGTGGTCTTCACCGACACTACAAACAGACAAAATATCATACATTAATTTGATGTACTCAAATAGTAACACTATGTGACTGGGAATGTTAAAAGAGCACGCTCACCTTAAGAAAGCCTTTAAACAGGAGCAGATAACAGATTCGGGAATGTCAGGGAGATGCTGCAGACAGAGCTGTAACAGACGCACGTCTTGCTTCTCCAGGGAGAGTGCTACTAAATCTGGACACAAACTGGGAGGAAGAACAGACACAGGGTTCATCCTAAATCCACAATCACAATAGGCAACCAATTTAAATGTATTTTGAGTTTCAGGAGAACGTAAAACATAGAATTTTGATATTTAATAGGTTCGACAACCATCCTGGAATACATTCCATGTACACAACTACTTTTTCAAGAAAAGAGAAATAAATAAAAATAGAAAAGAAGGAACAGGCAGAGGAATCAGGCGTCCCAATCTTGTAAGCAAATTAAAAGGACCTCTGTCGTTTTCTGGGATCTTTTCACATTTGGCAACACCCCCTAGTGGGAACATTGCCACTTGGTTGGCGATGGCAAGGCGGTGCACCAGAGACTAGTTAAACTTATGCCTTATTTCCACAGCTTTAAGTACAAAATAAGCTTAAATTACTTTAGATAAAGAAAGGTCACTGTTACCTGTAGGACAGTAGGTTTGTCTGAATGAGCTGCACTAGAGGACTTTGAGGGTAGAAATTAGGATCGCACCGACATCGATTTAACAGTTCCTGCATGATTTTCCCAATTGTAATATGAAAATCCACGGCTTCATAACCCCACAAAGCACGCTGTACCACGCTGGCAATCTGGCTTTCAGGGGCATTCTGGGAAGAACACACAAATTGGATTGTTAGGATATCAAAGTACAACATAACAGAATTCATTTGTTCACAATTTATGTATGCCACGGATGGCCAATATAAGCAACAAAAATGTTTCTCAATTATCATCGTTATTCACTAAAAAAAAACATTTTGTCCAAAAAACGACCAAATTTTGACCACACTGGCTAAATAACATCAGGATTTGATTGGTCCAACCAATTATTGAATGTCGGTTCGGAGGATTATGAAAAATCAATGATATTCGTATTCATATTCCAAACCAATCTACAGTAAATGAATCAGATTTATCAACGACCGTATGGTGGCCGATGACAAACTGAATAAATCCGGTAGGATACAGGTTTGCAAAATAGCATTTACTTTTTTTGCAAGCGAATTGATCATCTGAAGAACGACTTGCCAGCTGGCAGCGCTAGCAGCCAAATGGTTAAAAACCCTTGGCGCCATCAGTGTTAAATGAGGAGGCTGGCCAACCGCCACCTTAAAATAGTAAAATAAATAAAAATCCTATGGGTGTCAATAAGACCCCATATTGCAATTACGATATTTATATTTACTGATTTATTACATCTATATACACACACACACCATCAGAAGTTTTCTTCCGTCTATTTCATCTTTTTTTCAGCCCCCAAAAAAGCCAAAGCCCATAACTTCAAGCATCACTAATTAAAAAAAAAAAAAAAATTTAAATTTTTTTTTTTTAAAAGAACTCTAATCTCGCTACCTTTACAGAGTAAGGTGGAGAATTCCAGAATGAGGAGAATGGATAGATGTTGGTCCATTGTTGCTCACGTCTGATTATTCACCGTGATACCGGTGCTATTTTAATAATTCCGGGTTTCAGCTTTGGAACCAAGACCGATAAACAGCTGGAAAAATTCTCACTAAAAAAAGGAACACTTCAGCTCCACGTGACAAAATCTCCCTTAAAAAACCCACAGATTTCAAAAAGAGAACTTCCCTGTCACTGTCTGATCTTACCTGGATGTCTTTCAACAACACGGCCAAATCTGCATCATCTGTTACGGTGGGCTTTGTCTTCCTCTGCCTGGCCTGCAGGTAAACAGAAATAATGGTATATTGACCAATTCTTATATCGCGCCATAACACAGAGTGCTTCTTGCAGATTAATGATACAATAAAGAAATACTATGCCACAGTAAACCAGCTCAGGACCCTGTAATATATTCTTGGTGATAAAGGATGTCATGGGGGGGTGGGGGGGAAGGACTAGTGGAAAGGAGCCTTTAATGGCATAAATCACTACACTGCAGGTCCCTCAAATTCCTGCACCTTGCATGGGGCCCTTCTATAGAGTAAAGACACCAAGGATTCCTTTAAATACAGATCTGTAACTGGATTGAAAGAAAGCATACATAGAAACAAATAGATAAATATATATTTTTTTAAATTTCTGCCAGAGACTCTTATTTCTCAGATTACCAATTCCACATCTTCCCGGTAATGGGCACCAAACATAAAAGTATCACATCACTGATAAACCCCCTTTGTTACAATACTGCACACATTGTGCTCATGATGAGAAGAAAAAAAACACACACAAGTCAGCCCTGTTTGCATGCTCCGGAACTGTGATGAGATGAGCTCCGGGATTTAATCACAAAATGGTGTTTTAATCCTGGTTATAAATTATTCATCCAGTGCCAGAACATACGGTACAACACAATTTGGTCACAGTGCAAGAAAAGGGGCTCAACGTACACTTTTTCTGCCGCCAGAGTTTGATTTCTTTGCTTCTGGTGCGTTGTCTACCAACGTGTCCCAATTTACAAATGATACGGTTTCCAGAGCTAAAAAAAATAAAAAAATAAAAATGTAAAAGTTCAGGAAAATTATTCAAAACATCACAACTTTTTAAATGTGTTAAACCAACGCATGCAACCCTGCACAGATACAGGATTATTACACATAAGGGATAGCTACAAGGGCAGCAAATAATTCAATCTGATTGTGACCTGGTGATGCAAATCTGTCAGCTTGACAGGTCCACGTGGTCTGCTAGGAAGTGTGTGATGTCTGTTTGAGACGTCTTTCCAAGAGCCCACTTACACACATGCAACACCAAAACCGCTTCATTAAGCTAAAGTTGTTTTGGTGACTAGTGTCCCTTAAAATCAAGCTGGCAAAACTCATTCCAAAAAAGTGGAAAAAGCTGGGACTTAGCGAGCTGGAGAAGCTTTTCCATATGGATTTCAATTAATTGCAATTTGAAGTTTGTTTGTTTTTTTTAATGGTTTGGCTACAACCTTTGACCCGGACTCCTAATTTTTAGGGGAATTTTTGTCAAGCTCTGATTTAACTCCAGTTGCCGTTGAAGAATTGTCCAGGGGAAATGCAAAGTGAGTCCAACTTTGGTATGTAGTCTGTTCTGCCCCCTCCCCTGTTCATATACTCCTGCCCCCTCCCCTGTTCATATACTCCTGCCCCCTACCGTTTATAGGTGCCAATGTATCCAAATTATCTGCCTACTTTGGTATTTTTATTTTTTTGCAGCGTTATGTTCAATCACGGGCTTTTAGTAATTTTCCCACTCTGTAGTGTTTAATCACTGGAGCACAGAAACCCGGATTTAAATTGCTTATTAAAGTTAACAAAGTACAATTTCTATGGGAAAACCAGTGAATTGCTAATAAGTCATTCTGCAGGGAACATCTGCAAAATTATACTGGACAATCCCTAACTGAACAACAAGATAAATATAGAACATTTAAAATTAGTAACAAAAAAACTTAAAAAAACTGTTTTGTATATGTTATAAGAAGACATTCTATTTAAAAACAAATAGATTAAAAAGGAGCACCTGATGTGTGGATGTTTCTCCACTTGCCGAGAGAAGACGCCAAGCAAGATGGGTCACAACCATATGGTATCACTGTAATGGATTTTCCATGTACCACATACATTTTATTGTCATGGCACCAGAGCTGTAAGAGAGAGCAGAATTAGAACACGGAATATAACACAGTATGTCATTTTACAGGAAGAAAGAAGACAACTTAATATTCTTTGATAAGCGTTTCAAATTATTACATCATTTTGAATAAACTCCTAAAAAAAATTTTTTTTTTTAAATACGAAAATAAAATATAATTTTTTTCAAAATATTAAATGCTTTTAAAAGTTTATCCGAAAATATTAATCTGAAAATCTTACCTGTGAATATTAACAAAAACCAAGGCCCACGTCAGAAAACATTTACCGCTGTGTTCTGCTTCCAATTATAAGCTATGAATAGCATTGATGTGTTTTATAAAAGCAGCCCTCGGCAGGATTCTTTATGTCTCCGCTCAAACGCTGATTACTTTACAAGTATATTGATTGCATTTTATGGCCAGTCTGGTTACAACACTTGCAACATTCGCTCAGATTCATAAGATTTCTTGTAAATGTCACATAGTAAATCAGCACGTTACAGACACCCCTTTTACATTTGCCGGGTTTCCAACCTAAGACCTCTAATTCTGGGCCAATTTCCGACAACTAAAGGTCTCCTCTTATCCAAGACACCACGGCTTGTTATACAGACAGCAGAGCCAGGGGTTTTAATCCCTTCAGCGCCCCCGCTTTGTTTTCCTGACACTATAGTGATCCTTTAAGCTAGGGCCCTCCCAGCCGCTAATGTTAGTTTCTGTAGCAGTTTTTGTTCAAAACATCAGCACACATGTCAATGCAATCAACAAAGTCTCAAGAGGGCAGAACACCTGGGCAAGTTCCTTTGATGAAACGATCCCTGTAATAACCAATCTCTGCTAATTCAACAAATTTAGACCATAAGATATAATTCTGCTGTGACATCCCAGGCCCTACAAGCCATCACTGCTACAGACAAAACTCACACAAGATGAATTCCTTCTTTTAACACGTGAGATCAGACCAGAGCTTTGTATCACTAGCAAGTAGTCTACACAATCAGTAGGACTCAACTAGCCTTTTATCCATAATGGGTTCAAACAGACAGGGAGCAGGGGATTAAGAAAAGATAAAGCAGAATGACAAAGATAACGTGAATGAAGGCCACGCACATTTAGTGCTTATTGCTAAGCGGAGGTTCTAGCTCAGACGATAAAGTAGAAATGTGAACATTATGCCATTCTAACCTGCATGCTGGTCTTCTGAGAGAATTCTTTTACGGCTTGTAAGGTCTGAAACTTTGTATTCCATATACACAGAATGTCTGAAAGGAAAAAAGAAAATAATTTTTAGGAAATAAGATCAATTTCACCTGCAGATCACACTTTGTACCTCGGCAGGTGGAAATATTAAAATTGCATTAAGAGTGAGCAACACTCTAGTTATTATTTTAAAAAATTATTTTAGTGTTGCTTCAAAAATAACTCGGACAAGAGTCGATGCATCATCAAGGCTTGAGATCTGCAGAGAGCGCCAGGACTCCATAATCACTCGATGGAGCCGTCAAGATTGTCCCTGGTTCTCCTCGATATCATGAAATGTTTACATTTCAAAATGTGCAGGAATGCACGTAAATCACAGACTTCGCTGAGGAACTTCCTCAGCCTGCGCCCTGGTAGCCAGGCCTCTCCCTCAAAACAAAATAAATAGATTTAATTCAAAGATTTAAAAAAAATAAATAAAATACCTTTTTGCATTGATGGAAGTTCTGTCAGTGTGGCAATATGGGAATCATCCAGAACGGCTACAACGCCGGTATCTGATGGTTCTTCCAGTTGGAGCAATGGTGAGACAGTAAGGGCATTCTCTACCTTAGACTGAACAAGACTGGCAAAGCTGTGACATACATGTCCGTTAGAGTCTAGAACAAGAGCAGGTAAAGGAATTAAAGATACTTCTGAAGGTAGTAACGTCTAAAGCAGGGTTCTACAAACGCCGGCACTCCAGATGCTGGTGAACTACAAATCCCATGAGTTTTTAAATGAAAGGAGATAGCCAGAGAATCATGGGAGTTGTAGTTCAGCAACATCTGGTGGGTCAGTTTGGAGAACTCTGACCTAAAAAGATTAGCACTTTTATTATAGCATTGTCTATAAACGTGCTGAGCTACTTGGAGAGAAATTCCACTTCTTACTGCTTGTTCTAGAATTCATAATAGAGATAGCAGTTTATCTGAGCTAAAGTTAACATTCTGGATCAGAACTGTAAAGACAGACCAACCCTTAAAGCAAATATACGATCATGACAAGCTCACAGACTGAATTAAAAAATTTTTAAACCACACACGTATAGAATTGCGAGTTAGCTTACATATAATTTTACTTACATAGAATGATTAAATGGAACGTTTTATTTTTTAGAGACCCAGAAAATCCCAAGGTGCGGGACCCATCAATGTATGGGTTAACTTTATATTTCTGAGAAATGCCAGGACTGGATGACCAGATATATACACAATGCTCGCCGAGCTGGAAAACAATAAGAAATAAATTAACATCTGGTTTCAGGTAAACAAATTCGGGACGGTCACTTTACCATTAACACCAACAATTGTGTTCTTGATCAATGCCACCTGTGCTTTTGGTTAACATGAACAAATCTTCAATGTTTGGATAAATCATAATCAATACATTTCTCGTGTGAAATAGCCAGATTAAACATTAGATTCAAGTAAATTTTCCTCCTGGAATTGGTTGCATGTGATAGTGATGTATAGCATTCTGAGCCACAAGCATTGTGTTATGTGTGCAGGGAGTGAGCTCATTAGAATCATTTGTTAAAGAATAACAATTATCAGTTTCCTCTTGTCTTTTTTTTTTTACGGTTAGTACATGTATTACAAACTTAATGATTTATTTTTGTTGACAAAATGTCACTTATCTGGATGCGCAGTCATGTTGGGTCAGATTATACGGTTATCTATCCAACTTCTGCGATCACCGAGTGCCACAGGCAAGTTGGGTTAAGCAGCAGAATTACTAGAATTAGACTCAGCATGGCAGCAAAGATGAAAAATATACATCATTAAAAAATAAATCACGAAGTGCATTCTGCACTTTTTTGGATTAATGTTTGCTATTTAAAGGTTGTTTACCTTTGGTAATTAGACCGGATATGTTATGCACTTTGTTATTTATATAATGTATTAACTGTTCATATTTAATAAAGTCTACTATTTGGCAGGATTTGGTGTGCTTTTAGTTTTTTTGAATTGTATATTTATATAGCGTTGGTGTGGTAACAAGACTCTCCCCCACCCCCAATTAAGCCTAAATTAAGTGCATGTTACACTGGTGTCCCGATATCACAGTAGAGAGCTCACTATAGAAATTGTGCTATGTGCAGAAATCTGATACTTACTATCTCTGTAATATATACCAACACAGACTGTCCACCTTCAACATACATATCAGACCACCTAAAAAAAACAAAAAACAATATTAGCATTTATCAACCATATCCACATTCATATTATTTTTGAAGAAGAATTCACTATTGAATATTTTTCAATAGACTGAATTACAAACCAACAAAATACTTTTAGTAACAAACTTACAAGATCTTTTCTCCATCCACCAGAGTGGTTTCAACTTCTTGTTGTGGATCAGCAAGCACCATATCCAAAAACCGCACTGATCCCCCCCGAAACAGTACAAGTGGTTCATGATCAGGGAGACTATGAATCCGATACACATCGGCAGAGAGCTGACAATCAAGAAAAGAGAGAGCACTTTACAATCTAGTAGTAAAAGGCCTGTCTTCAAAAGAACAGTTAAACCAGCAATAACATATGTAGATTGTCAGCTCTTGAAATCATCAAGAACTGTTAATACGTTTGAGTTTTGGAAATGGCTTCAGAATATATAAAAAGAGACATACCCAGGACCAGACTCACTGCTGTTTATTGTTCGTAGTGTTTACCTCCTCACATGGAGATTTCACAATGAAGTTTACTTGCCTGTTTTTTGTCCAGTTATTTGTACAGAAGAATTCTGAACATTTCAGTACCGCCTAACAGTAAGCCATTTGATGGGGTTTGCTGTTTTGAACAAATGACCAGTGATTTGATATGGCTGATCCTTGCTTACGGATTAAAAATATACTGGACTGGTAATAATGAGATAAAGCTTCCTAATTTTACTAAATCCAGCAAAAGGGGAATACTTTGGGTCCTGAAAATTCGTAGTATTTTTTTCCATATGGCTTAAAATAGGGTTGACAAAATTCTCACTGACTGAACCCTCAGACTAACACAGCAACCTCTATACAAGTTGTAGTGGTTAAAGGTTGGAGAGTCCCTTTAAAGTACAAATAAGAAATTAAACATGGGCTAGTGTTTTATTCACACTATGTGGTTTGTGCTATGGAATCTATAAGTAAAAAAATACATTCCTAGCTCTTGATTCAGAGCAGAAAGTGGTTAACCTGCCAAATGAATTCTTCCCCATTTTCAAACTGCACTGTAGAAACAAAATAAATAAAAGCCAAGCACAAGTACAGAGCACTGTAGTGGCCCAGGTGCTCCCTAGCTCCCCACCACGCAAGTAGTCAAACCATTTTGCTCTCGGCCAATGAGCTGGTCCAGCGGAAGCGCTTAACGGGAGCTTCTATCTCTCAATTCTGGAAGGGAAGAGGCAGGGAGCAGTGCCCAGTGGTCAGCAGGTAAGACATCAAGCCATTAGCAACTCTGGGGAGTTATCAGGGCACTCCTAGCACCAGTATTGGGGTTAGGGGCAGCATATAATGAACTTCTGGAACATGGCCAACTGAAAGCAAATCTAAGCATTGCATTAAAACACATGAGGGTGCCTGGTGTGTCCTTTAAAAACTGCAAAATAATTTTTTTTAAAAGCACTTACGGTTGCTTTGAATGCTTTGTCCAAGTTTGCATTGCTATCTTTCCATATCCTGATAACCTGCGGAAAAAAAAAAGTAAATAACTTTATATAGAGGCCATTCTCCTTTCTGCAAAGGAATGCAATGTTAGAAACCGAATAGGAAAAATCTCACAAAGCTGGTAAAAGGAATTCGTATCTTTACAATCAATAACTCAATAGAGCCCAGGCTGTGTCAAACTCTGCATTAAACACAATGTACACTTTCTGACCAACAAGGATAAATATAAAGTTGTTGACATTGAGTCATCAGCATAAGGAGCATTTTCTTTCATTAAAACTATTTTCAGTTCCTGTTATTTTAGACACTTCAGGACCATCTATATCTCAATCGTTCAAATAGGTAGGACTTAAAGGGACACTGTGGGAGACTATACCTCTGAAGTCTCACTGCTTGAACAGAATTTGCAATAAAGAAAGTGTAAACATTAGATCTCTTTACAGGAAGTGTTTAGGAAGGCTGTGTTTTCACATGCAGGGAGGTGTGACTAGGGCTGCATAAACAAAGTGAATTTAATCCTAAATGGCAGATTATTGAACAGTGAGACTGTAGGGGCACAATCTATACAACAAAACTGCTTCATCAGCTAACATATTGGCATTTTTGGTACAATAAAAAGCAATTACAATAATTTGTAAAGCTGGGTGTCCTACATGCTGGTTGGGTAAAACAGGGCTCGACAAATCACAGGCGCCAGGTCGACTAAGAATTTTGCCCTGGCGCTTGGGATTGGTCGGCCTGTCCCCTCCTTCCTCCCGCAGGGGAATTGCAAGCTGGAAGGGCAGCATATAAAGACTGCCAGCTTGCTGCCTGCCCGCCACCCCGGCCGAATTCCTCCGAGCCCACCCACATTAATTAGAGCTTGTCAGCCTGCTCGCGTTCCACAGTCACCCTGCCCACTTTCCTCATAGGCTCCAGCTATTCTGAAGAGCCAGCTGCCCGCCCATCCCCTTTGCGGCCTGCACGCGGGAGAAAGTAATTAAGTTTCCCTTCACTTCCTCCCGGCGCACAGAGATTTGCATGGGGCCGAGAAGACTTAAACAGCAGCAGCTGCTCCCACCTGCCGCAATAACCAATTTTCATTTGCTGCTACCCAGTCCCACTGGACCCCAGGAAGCAACCCTCCTGAGCCCCAAAGGTAGGAAACAGGAGGGTGGCTAAAAATATGTATTACCTTTTTTTGTGTGTGTGTATATCTGTGTGTATCTATATCAAATAATACTTTGTGACTGTGTGAGAGTGTGTGTGTCAGCCAGGGTGTGTACGTTTAGGTCACCAGCCCCCTCTGATCACATGGGAATGGTGTTCTTACTCACCTCTTTTCCAACGCTATGCCGGTCTCACTGCAGCTGGCCAGCCTCCATAGCTGAGATTATCAATTACGAATCAGAATCTCCTCGTAGAGATGCAATAAATCAATGCATCTCCATGGGGAGCATTCAGGGACTTCATGCAGAGCTTTGAGACACTGAACGAAGGTGCTGCACTGAAATAAGAGACACTTTAGTGGCCGTTTGAGTGACGGCAACTAGAGGTGTTACCAGGCAGCAATGTAAACACTGCCTTTTCTAAGAAAAGGTGCAGTTTACTTTGAAAAGCCTGCAGGGACAGTCTACAGACACCAGACAAGTACATTAAGCTGTAGTAGTTCTGGCGACTATAGTGTCCCTTTAAGAATTGTATTTTTGTCGTTGGGGGAAAAAAACTGGCTCCTAACTTTTTTAGCTGGCTCCTAGATCGAAAGCAAATTTGTCCTGGGGTAAAAGTTCTGTTTAGTTTGAAGCCTGCTTTATGTGCAGGGCATATTTTTCGTTTTGCATCTAAAGTTTCTTGTGCTTTTAGTTAAATACATTTTTGTTAAAGGTTTAATATTCACTGTGAACCAAGATGCAGTTATCCAAGAATAGTTTTCTAACCAAATAGCTTTGGTCATTTTACAATTTCACAGCTGCATAAATCAAATTGTTAATAGTTCCCCTTTAAACTTTAAAAGGTGTTTAGTATGAATGCTCATATAGGAAACCATTGTGCTCTGTACTTTGTATCGGCAAATTGGCAGAAAGAATACAGTTACATAAAAACTGCATAAGGAAAAACACAAACCATGAGCAACATGTCACATTCACTGTATGCTGCCATCACAAAAACAACAAAGTTGAAGATCAAACCGTTACCTTATCATCATGAACTACAATATATTCTTCAGTCCCAAAATTAAAGACAGCAGGTGATGTGACGATCTGTCCTTGTTTTACAGTCCAGCTTCCCAGTGGTTTTTGATCAGATACCTAAAATATTAAGAACAACTTGTTTAAAGTTAGAGTAAGCAAAACATTGGATGAACCAGGATTTGCTGGAGGAGTCTCATTCAATGAATAAGACCCCACAGGTAAATCCCAGAAGATCGATTTGGCCAGATGTGGATTAAAACGAACCGATTTGAACGAACCGACCAAAACTAATTTTTGCACAGATATAGCGGGCAATAACTACAATACCATACAACCAAACATGTTTAAAACCATTCTTCAAACATCTGTCACCGCTCATCGAAATAAATAGCAGGTGTTACTAGCCAGCAATGTAAACACTACTTGTTCTCAGAAAAGGCTGTGTTTACATTGAAAAGTCTGCAGAGACACACTATACACATAAAGCTGTGGTTGTTCTGGTGACTATAGTGCCCCATTAAATTTGAATTCTCACTTTAGTCTTCTTACAATAATAGTAAATAACCAGTGATGTAAAGCAAACTCACAGAATCCCAGTGATAACCCCAGAAATTCAAAGCTTGTGGGGTAAGCCCTAACTGAGCAGGAGTCCATGGAGCCCTATTAACGCTCACCACCATCACAGCCATACCCAACTCTATCAGTTACAGTTTATTTCACCTACCGCCTGCCCACCTACCCCCCCATACCGGCCGGCGCTGCCCACCTACCCCCCATACCGGCCGGCGCTGCCCACCTACCCCCCATACCGGCCGGCGCTGCCCACCTACCCCCCCGGCCGGCGCTGCCCACCTCACCCCCATGCACCGGCGCCCAGCTGCCACCTGCATTTCCCTTACACCCTACCCCACACAGGCCCATTCCCTCCCCACACCCGGCCAGTGCCTCCCCACGCAGGCCGGCCAACCACCTACCCCCATACCGGCCGGCTGCTTACCCCACCCCCCCATGCCGTGGCTGCCTATCCCCATCCGGTGCTGCTTCCCACCTACCCCCACCGGCCGGCTACCCCCCCCCCCATGCCGGCCGGTGGCTGCTTACCTACCCCACCCGGGGCCTCCCCGCCCATCCCCACCGGCCGGGCTGCCCACCTCCCCCCACCGGCCGGCGCTGCCCCTCCCACCTGCCATACCGGGCGGTCCCACACACCCGGCCCCTGCGCCCCCCTATGGCCGGCTGCCCCTACCCCATACCCGGCTTCCCACCCTACCCCCCCATACCGGCCCGGCCTTCCCCTTTACCGGCCGGCGGCGGCAGCTGCGGCTGGCCGGCTGGCCCACCTACCCCCCTTGCACCGGCTGCCCACCCGGCCCGGTGCTGCCCCGCCTACCCCCACCGGCCGGTGCTGCCCACCTACCCCCCCACACAGGCCGGTGCCTGCCTCCCCCACCGGCCGCCCACCACCCACCCCACACCGGCTGTACACCGGCCGGCGCTGCCCCACACCGGCCGGCGCGCCCCCCACACCGGCCGGCGCTGACCCACCTCCCCACCGGCCGGCGCTGCCCCGCCTACCCCCACACCGACCGAGCGCTGCCCACCTCCCCGCGGCCGGCGCTGCCCACCTGCCCCCCCCACACCGGCCGGCGCTGCCCACCTACCCCCATACCGGGCCGTGTTACGGTCCCCATCTTTCAGGCCGTGTTACGGTCCCCCCATACCGGGCCGTCCCACGTGTTTACGGTCCCCCCTTCATACCGGGCCGTGTTACGGTCCCCCCCCTTCCAGGCCGTGTTACGGTCCCCATACCGGGCCGTGTTGCAGTCCAGTCCCCCCCATTCCGGGCCGTGTTACGGTCCCCCTTTGGGCATACCGGGCCGTGTTACGGTCCCCCATACCGGGCCGTGTTACGGTCCCCCCGAGGCCCCACGGTCCCCCCTTCGGGCCGTGTTATGGTCCCCCCATCAGGCCGTGTTACCCCCCCCGGGCCTGGGCCGTGTTACGGTCCCCATACCGGTGAGGGTCCGCGTGCCGGGCTGTGTGTGGGTCCCACGTGGGTGCCGCGGTGCCTGCCGGGTATTACCTGGTAGAGGGTGACGGTCCTCCCGGTGTCGGTGAGCAGCACGGTGTCCGGCTCTCCCCCCAGCCCCACGCTCCGGGGTCCCCGGGGTCTCCCCGCTCCGGTCCCGGCGAGCAGCGCGCACAGCGTGAATTCCTCCCCGAACCCGGTCATGGCGGCCGCGCGGTGCGAGTGACGTCACGGGCCGGGAGAGCGAGGCGCAGGTCGGGCTGGAGAGCGGGCGCTGCGAGCGGCGAGGGACACAGCGACCCCTGGCGGCCGGGAGGAGCGAGCGCAGGCACAGTGTATTCACAGTGTATTCACAGGGCAAGGGCTGGGTCCAAGAGCTTACACAGGGAGAGTTAGTTAGTGCATGAGTTACATTAGAGCCCTGAGACTGCCATTTAGCTGAACAGTTTGTATTTTCCTGCTCAACCTCACATGATTAGGGGATATTCACCTCTATAAATGGCTGGGAATAAAATAAATTGCAACTTTTAGGCTACAATAGCCAAAATAATAATCTGTGTATGCAGGATGCACCCCCCATGGGGACCAGACCTGGGGCTAGGTATCACCTTGGGCTTCAGGGCTTTTCACTGGCCCTCTGGCCAGAAGATTAGTGTCATGATAGACTCGTGAGGTGATCTGTGTCTGAGGAACGATGGGTTAAATCTTGGTGATCTTTTTATTGTTATTGCTTTCGGCATTTATATAGCGCCAACTTATTCCGCAGCGCCCTGTAGAATACTCTGTAACTAACTGAACTCGCCTGGTTACAAGGGGATTGGGAGGATCTGTACATAAGTATGCTGCATTGTACATTTTCAATCAGGTTTGGAATATAATAATTGCCCCCCATAAAACTGGGGTTCCTGCACCCTCTGCTTTTCCTCAGGAGAAATATTTGTACCTCTGTTCTGGGGGCTAGTTGCACCCCCAGCACACATGTCTTAAGCAGTCCAGAACTCTGTTCCGGGATACCTAAAGTCACACATGTGGAAAAATTACATATTTTGTCATCGAGCACCGTGCGCTGGTGACAGACGTTCTTAGCTTCCCCACCTCACTCTATTGTCAGTCATATTTTTTTTTTTCAATTATTCCCTCCCTACTTTATTCAGCACACTATCTCCCCTTGCTGACTCAAAGTGCACGCAGGTGGCAATGACGTCAATGGAGGCATGCTAGCCATCACTGGATTTTAGGGAACTTTATTTTAGATTTTTAAACTCACTTAACTTATATTGTCAGACTACAGGCACTGGATATTTGCACAAAAACACTACATAAAGCTGAAGTAATTTTGGTGCTTAGACTGAGTGTCCCTTTAAAATTAATGTAGTACCCATAGATATTGGGGTACTTTGATCCCATGGTGGTTTTAGCATTGTATGTGATTAAATACCTATATCTTTCTGCTTAACTGGCAAGATTTTAAACTGTACATTTTCAGGTGTATTCTTCCTTCTTCTAATATGTTAAAGGGAATCTGTCACTTTACATAAACCCCAGACGATGACTTCTACCACTTGGGTTCCGGTGGACATTGAGTGTAGTGGAAGGGAGGTAATTTTCTTCCTTTGCGAGAAGGTTTGTCAGTGCTGAACTCTTGCGATTGCGTGATAAGCTAGGTGATGCCTGAATCATACATCCGTTACTTTTGATGAATGCTGGGATTGAACAAAAGCAAAACTTTAGGGTTTACCATAAGACATGGTAGTCCTTACTTTGTCTTATGGAATCTTTTGGATTGTGTTGGAATTTCAATGACATTCCAACGCAGTCAGCAGGAGTATTTGATAGAGATTAAGTCTTTATGTAATACGTAGAAGTGACAGACCCGCTAATGCTGATGGTTTGTTATGGAAGAAAAAAAAAACAACTTTAACTCAGACATGTTATTTTTGAAAGCTGGTTCCATCCTGCGCTGGTGACCATATTGTCTCTGAGCCTTTTCCTTCCCTCTGGCTCCCCTGTTGTCTGTATGCCTCTTCATGCCATGTAGGGGTTGCTCTATTGTCTGTGTGCCTTCTACTTCCTTGCTCTGTGTGTTTGTTAGTTCTTCCTACCCCCGGCTCCCCTATTGTCTGTATTTATATTCATTACTTTCCTTGGTTCTTCTATTGGCTCTGTATTTTTACCTTGCCTGTCTTGTGGTTATGTTTCAAACCAGATCCCTTTTTGGTAGCCTGTACTTTTTGTCCGTTTTTCTCTGTAGCCATACTTAGCAGAGCTTCCCTTCCTTACCTATAGTTATATCTCCATCTTAGCCATATTCACCATTAAAGTATCTGCCTATAGTTCCTACAAATAGACATATATACCCGAAAGCCAGAAACCATGCTAAATAAAGTGATTTACACAGCTTGTCCCATGGTGAAGCCACTGTGTGACCTGGTTACAGAGTATACCTTGTTTGTCTTTGTGTTTGATTGCGTGTGTGTATGAGGGACGGTACTGTTTTAAGACAGTCTGGCTTGCATGCAGTATCATAATGTTGCTAATCCGTGTAGCCAGAACATGTCCATTGACACTCTCCCATTATACCATCACTGCAGGGAGGGAAGATGAAGTGTAGGTTGCAATTTTGACTCTTGCAACCACCACCAATGTCAAATGGATGACTTGCACCATGCAAATACATAAATAGGGTTTAAGAAGCAGGACTCTAGGAATTTTGCTAACAAATTGCGTGCATTGTATAAATATAAATTTGTAACACTTTAAGCTAGGGAGTATAAGGAAGGGAAGGTTGTGGATGGTCGTTGGATCTGTATACCGATATCTCTTTCTTCAAAATATAGGGGTGGATCCAAATACCGATATCTTTCTTCAAGATATAGGGGTGGATCCATATACCGATATCTCTTTTTTCAAGATATAGAGGTGGATCCATATACCGATATCTCTTTCTTCTAGAAATAGGGGTGGATCCGTATACCGATATCTCTTTCTTCAAGATATAGGGGTGGATCCGTATACCAATATCTTTCTTCAAGATATAGGGGTTGATCCATATACCGATATCTCTTTCTTCAAGATATAGGGGTGGATCCATATACCGATATCTCTTTCTTCAAGATATAGGGGTGGATCCGTATACCGATATCTCTTTCTTCAAGATATAGGGGTGGATCCGTATACCAATATCTCTTTCTTCTAGAAATAGGGGTGGATCCGTATACCGATATCTCTTTCTTCAAGATATAGGGGTGGATCCGTATACCGATATCTCTTTCTTCTAGATATAGGGGTGGATCCGTATACCGATATCTCTTTTTTCAAGATATAGAGGTGGATCCGTATACCGATATCTCTTTCTTCTAGAAATAGGGGTGGATCCGTATACCGATATCTCTTTCTTCTAGAAATAGGGGTGGATCCGTATACCGATATCTCTTTCTTCAAGATATAGGGGTGGATCCATATACCGATATCTCTTTCTTCTAGAAATAGGGGTGGATCCATATACCGATATCTCTTTTTTCAAGATATAGAGGTGGATCCGTATACCGATATCTCTTTCTTCTAGAAATAGGGGTGGATCCGTATACCGATATCTCTTTCTTCAAGATATAGGGGTGGATCCATATACCGATATCTCTTTCTTCAAGATATAGGGGTGGATCCATATACCGATATCTCTTTCTTCTAGATATAGGGGTGGATCCGTATACCGATATCTCTTTCTTCAAGATATAGGGGTGGATCCATATACCGATATCTCTTTCTTCAAGATATAGGGGTGGATCTATATACCGATATTTCTTTTTTCTAGATATAGGGGCGGATCTATATACCGATATCTCTTTTTTTCTAGATATAGGGGTGGATCTATATACCGATATCTCTTTTTTCTAGATATAGGGGTGGAAGGGGTGATACTTTGAAACAGCCTCGATTGCATTTGGCCCAAACTAAGTGAGGGTTAGGGTGAGGCGGTGGTAGTTATTGTGTTAAAGGTCTGCTTCCTGTCATTATCATCAGACAATCTCTAGGAAAAATCATTCATATTTTATTCACAAATAAGACAAAAAAAACACTTGAAAAGATTGCTTGGACGTTTATTTACAATTAAACATAAAAGGAAAAAACGAGAAAAAAAAACATCCATAAAAATATAATAATGAAAAGCAAAAGGATGCATGTCCTATGGATGTCACTTGTTATGATTAAGTGCCAGCTCATCGATTCTTTTTGTCCTCTCCTAATATTTCAATACTTGGTCCTTTACTCATTCAGGCAGTAAAACATTTATTTTTATACACAATGCAACATGTAAACAGCAGGAAATGAATGCTATTTTATCTGAAACTGGCCTCGTGTAAATAACAGATGTGTAAAATTAATTTCAGGATACGGATCATTAGAAGGGATTTTTTTTTCACTGAGCCAGAAACTGTAAAAGTAAAAAATTGTAAGGCAATTGACAAATTGGAAATAGTCTCAAATTCACTTGTTTTTCAAATTTGCCATTCCCTCATCGGTTCTTCTTCACAATCCCTGGAACAGTGGAAATAAAAGATGTAGAAAAAAAATTAAAAAGACATATGTTGACTTTGTGGGTCCAGATAGGCAAAAATAAAGAACCCCTTAAAGATACGGTTTCTGAAGCAAAATACCAGCATGACGGAAAATGTAAAGGAATAGCTAAGCAATTCTGCACGCTATGCTTCAGTTTCCTAAGTTTGATGTAAATTTGCTTAATTTCCCCTTAAAAGTAACAAACTTTGTAAATGATTGTATGTTAATAGTGGATATTTGTTGAAGCATGTTTCCAAATTGAAAATAAAAACGTACAGCTATTAAAGAAGAACATCAAGAACAGGAAACACGCACGACGACTACTACTGTTTATCATGAACACAGAGAAAAAAAAAGCACCCAGAATTCTAATCTATGTTTCAGCCTAAACAGAGGTCTAAGTCCTTGAGATCACAGATCCTTAATTACAAATTGTAAAAATACACTGTCAAAGCTGCTGTCCTGCTTGGGAAGGTATTTCAGACCATCTGATCCAATTGCGTTACTGTGGCGTAACACCTTAATACCAACAGGGTTTATACACTAAATTGGATAATTGTGGAGATTGGACAAGGGGCACGCACATTTTGTTTTAAGGCCAAAATAGCTGAATTGGAAACACTCACCGACATAGCTGTTTTTTCAGCTCTGCTATTTTAGTCTAAAATTTACAACCCTCAATTCTCCACAATTCCAGTTCAGTGGATAAACTATTTTGAGTGCCAATTGATGAACAAGACATGGGAAACGCAATGGGTCGTCACCTCTCCTGCTTAGGAATTGGTTATAAAATAGAGGACAGCCAGCTAATGTGTATTAAAGTGCAAATAAGCACCCCTGTGCCCCAGAGTATCCAAAATTACTTCAAAACGATTCATTTGGGCAGGGTGCTGTGAGCAAGTGAATGGGCTGCAGAGTGAACTTAACTCTCGTTTTATCTTTTATTTCGATGATATTAGATGTCCAGACAGCCAATCTGATTGTTGGAAGCAAAGCTGATTGTGCTGCCCTTTCTGCGTTTCTAATTGGCGTAGTAATCATGGCTTTTAACAGTAAGTACAGTATTTAGCTTTTCTAATAAAACAATGTATAGCGGCAAGAAAATGTACATGTATCCGTTAACTGTAGCTCTAACAATGCTGAAAGAATTAAAGAGACACGTGGTGCGTGGAATCATCCTTACACATCCATTTACAGCGCGCTGTTGAATCCGGGGCCTTATTCACTAAACAGTAAGGTGAACGCTAGTTGCAAGAGTGAGATTAAACTACAAGATTTGGCGAAACTCTTCCAAGTTGGAGACTTTCTTCAAACTCTGCAATTATGGTATTTTAGATGTTAATTTGCCACTAATCACTCTTTATTGAATGAACAAGTTTATTATAAAATGTAAACTACGTTAGTACCAGAGCTATTGAGCTAATGAGCTGGGGATATGGTCCTCACAGTGATTGACTTATGACTACAAGAAAGAATGACCCCTGATATCATTCTACTTTTATTTATACGTGCTTTAAGATGTTTAGTTGCTCTCTGTGTATTGACCTGGACCCGTGTCTAATCTACGCAGCATGGTAGAGTTACGGCGTGTTATTTTAAAAATATAATTAAAAATAGGTTTGGGGAAAAACTGGATTGTGCCAATCTTATGTAAACTTCTCAAAGTACTCCGAGTCTTGCAAACGTGTGCTACGAAAATGCCCAGATTTCATTTTTTAGAAAGAAAATACAAAGTAGAATTGCTAGCAAAAAATATGGGGGATTACTTGTGCAATTCTGCCAGGGAAGGAGAAATCGTCCCAGTAAAGGTTGGTGCAAAATTCATTAACCTGATCTCAAAACAGCCCATTCCATGGAAGAATTTAGCTTATTTTATTTTTAAATGCAGGGCAGCACCAACTTTAACCAGTTACTTTTAAATAATACATTGAAAAATCATGTTCATTCACTTACAAGGCAATTCATGCACGCATGCTGAAAGTACATTGTAGAGTTAAATATCCATCTCTTGGGTACACTGGACAAAGGAACGTCTTAGAAAAATCATCCAGCATGTATAATCTACCTGAGTTCAATATTAACAAGCCTATAATACATTAACGTCCAGCCTAAACAAAGCAGCCGCTGGCCCACTGTATGTAGGCTGAAATGCTATTTATCAGAAACAAGCAGCCATTTTCATCATAGTATTTACTTTTCCCAACGTTCATTGAGCTAACTTAGCGAGAACAAGTTTATAAAGGATGAAGATTGTTAGAAGAAGTGTACGTCAGCGTTTCATTGTGATAATGCAGGAGAACTTATTCATAGCAATGTTGGAATGAGGATATTCGCGACAGCTTGAAACGTATAGAATGGTGTATTGCCGGTCCTTGATGGCCAATTACATCAAAGACCACCCAGGGTGAAGACAGATTAACTAAACAGCAAGAAATCAAAGTCTGTGTACCAGAAATCCATATAGTATTGTATAACGAAGCCAAGGATTGATACTACAGTAGTTATAGTGAAAGTCCGGGTCATTATACCAAAAAATCAGAGCAATATGAAACAATATGAAGGATTCATTAAAAGAATTAACCACTACTACTGCAGGAACCACACAAATATTCATCAGAAAACGTGTTTCCTACTTTCGAGGATTACCATTGACGATTCTTATTAAGAAACTTCTAACAATGATTTAATGCTTATAGCAAGCTGTAACTAGTGCTTACGTTACTTGTTTGTAATACAGATTATAGACACCCCCTTTTGCCTTTTTGGTAAACATGTGGCAATCTATCATTAGTTTATAGGTGATCTCAGGTGAGGATATTCCTTTTGACCATATACCAAGGTACATTCCTTGGAAGAACTCAGATAGATCTCTCTGCTACAAGCCATGTTGAGTATCAAAAATCTATACTTGTATTATGCAAAATATAAAAAGAAAAAAATGTAAAAACAGATCTGTAAACTAGCTGTCATAATCCCATTTGTACCGTAACCATGGTTAAGCATCATGGCAGGACTCTCCATGTCGAAGGTGGGATGACATCTATCTCCAAATGTCTAGATAAGGCTTCCCCAAACGCCAGCCCTCCAGATGTTGCTGAACAACAACTCCCATGATTCTATGAATGAAATATATAGGCTGAGAATCATGGGAGTTGTAGTTCAGCAACATCTGGAGGGCCGGAGTTTGGGGAAGCCTGGTCTAGATTAACAACTCTAGAATGTAACCAAACTGCATTAAGTTTGGAACCCTGTAAGCTCTGTAGCATCACAAGTGATGTCCATCTTGGAATAATTCTACCACACATGACTGTCCGTATACAAAGTCCAGAATTAATACCGAAACACAATTAATATTCCATGGAAATACAGAATCTCTAATATCAACTAAGAAACTCAAACACATCTATTAATAAGACAGGAAAATTAATTAAATACATTGAAAAAGAGAGCCAAACACCATAAAATGTTAATATATGAATACATCGTACACCAGTTTCCTGTGTACAAAGTTGTAGCAGTCAGACTGTGATTCAG